TGAAGCAGGTTTGTTATGGGTTACTGTTCGCCGCACAAAATATAAATACTTTATCCTTCGGCGTATAGCGCACCCGGTAGCGTGCCATAAATTTCACCAGCTAATAATTTTCCCAGAGCGTAAGGCAACATCAAAACTGAATGGAAGGTCTGCCATTTTGCGATAGCTGTGTTCCTTGCGGACAGTGTCGCTGATTGTCACTAGTTCCTGCAGGTCTGTTCGCCTACTTTTCTCGGTTGATAAACGCAGAGGCTGGTGATAGTTTGTGACAGCTACCTGTAGCTGCGTCCTCACAGGATTGAGTTATATCTTGACACAAATGTGAAAATGTAGAGCAATATATATCAGGGTGGTATTCTGGCATCTACTGCGGTGTCTTGGTAGTTTGACAGCTACGTTTCCCTTTGCACGAAAACTTTCGGGCGGCAACCTTATCCATATTTTGACATACGGCCTGTGAAACAAGCCAAACAAGCTCGTACGAAAGCTCTATTTTTTTATTCTTCCAAATGGAATATTCCCGCAGTGCAAAGATATAAAAACCCGCTGGCAACTCTGCAGTCAACCATTTACATTTTCGTTTTACAGCCAAACAATTCGGAACGGTGACTTAAAGGCAGCATGGTTCTCATTAGCGCAGTCGGAATTTTTATGCTAGTCCTATAAAAATTTTNCTTTTATGCTAGTCCTATAAAAATTTTTGATTAAAAGAATAATTAATAAAAAGACTTTCAAGTTCTATAGAGTTAAACAGAGATTTTGTGTGGAAATATAGAAACCTATAACTACTCTTTAAAGTGAAATTGCAATATATTGTAAGACCAGATTTAAGATTTGGCGGCAGCGGCCTTAAATCCAGTGAAAAATACAACATCAGGAGCAGCTCCTGGGGAGTCAGCAAAAGCCACAATTCCTGTAGCAACGGGAAATGAGCTGAATCGACAATATCGGCAGCATCAGCAGCAGCGCAACCAAGGTAAGTGTTCCTTAATATTCATAACTACATATAAGGGGGTTAGTGAACTGCTCGTGGTGTTCCGTGGGAGTCTCCTTGCTTACTCTACTTCTGCCCCATGAGAGCACGATTGGGATGGAGTAACTCGGAGCAGGCAAACGCACATAACGACCGCGGTTGACTAATTAACCCAGCAAACAGTGAAGACTTATATTAGTCTCATTGGTGCTCCTTTCGGACTCATATATTCTGAACGCTCAGAAGCGGTCAAACTCATAGTCGGGGGACAGTTTGGATGGTAGTGCAATGATTTTGTGGTGCTGGGTGCAGACGCGCTGCCCGAATCTAGGGAAGCTTTAACATACGCGTGTAGCAAAAGAACTAACTTAAATTTAAAACAAAAATTTCAATTTCCGAGCAATAGTTTATTAGGCTGCAATTTAGTTTCGTATCCCCAGAGTTCTACATTAAAGTAGCTAGAGAACAGGAGGACAGTTGTACTGATTGCAAATATATAGTTCTAGCTGCTGGAGCCTTGTAGTTTTTTTTAAGTTATGTGTGTTTAAAGTTATTAATTAATTCGGTTTAAAATGGGCGTTTTTTGGTAAAATTCGACTGTGTTCTATGCAAAAATACTCGGAATGACCTAAGATTTTATTCTAAGAAAAAAAAAAAGGTTTTGAAGGATTTCCTGTTGTGCGGGGGAAATGTTCGGTTATTTGTATAAGGATTATTTTCGCAAAGAAAAAAAAATTAAATTTATGTTAGGCCATCAGCAGTATTTTCACGCCAAAATCCACCTCCAAATTTACACAAGGAGTGCATATTTCAAACCGCAATCTTTTTTTTGATTAAAGTGTAATCCTCTGACTAGACGTATATGTTGAAGTTTCCTTGGTTCGGGTCGCGTGGTTGGACACGATAACCCAAAATCATTGTACAAATAAATGAACCGCCGTACGCAAACTGTTTTACTTATGCATTTTCCTATAAACAAAAATTTTATAAAATGAAACGGTAGTAGTTTTCATTTTAGGTGGATAGTTCTTGTCACAACTACTTAGTTTCGAGCTTATATTTATGTATATATGTCTATATATATATATTTTTTTTGCTGCGCCACATCCTTATTTGAAAATTCAACAGCGCGCAACAAAACCAACAACCAGCGCGCAACACCAACAACAGCAGCGCGCAACAACAACAACAACCAGCGCGGCTACCATAGCACGCGCAACACCATCAAAAATAGCGCGCAACACCAGCAACATAACAACCAGTGCGGCTACTACAGCCCGCGTCACAACAACAACAACCAGCACGGCTACCATAGCGCGCAACACCCACAACAGCACGGAACACCAGCAACAACAAAAGCGCGCAACATCAGCAACAACACCAGCAACAACAACAACCAGCGCGGTCACTATAGCGCTGCGCAACACCAGCGACCACAACAACAGCAGGCCCACCAAGACCTGCTGCAACAAAGGGTGAGTCCCTCGGGCCGGTACAAATAAATTATAATTAGAGAAAAAAAGGAGAGCCTAATAGGCTAGATGCATATTTTAACTTGTTATTAGTTTGAGCGAAACACTTGAATAAGCTATTAGTGCCTAAGACGTTTTCTTATCTCATTCCCAGTAATAATCTCTTTAATGTGTTGGAAGGTTTGCTGATATACATACAACTTCATTGCCCATTTGCGCGCGTGCATTTTCAAGGCATTACAGTCTAACCTAGCTGGCATTTCCAGTGATCCTTATTTTTGAATTTCAAAGTAATAGTAGTACTAAAATTCATTTAAAAAGTCATTTTGCGCATACAGAGTACCAGCATACCTACCTAACAGATGATTGCATGTCTGGGATTTGAAGTTAGACGTTAGGATTTACCACTGAATCGGTAATAAGGTATCTAATAACACCCGGAATTACAACTTTATTTTTTTTCAAATTGGAGCGATAGGTTTTAATATACTTATGTCTAATTCGTAGCAACACAAAGCATTGAGTACTTCAATTCATATGTATCCAAAGAAATAAAATGTGAATTTAGTTGATTTTTATAAACAAAGGCAAAAAAACCCAAACCTGAAATAAGCATACATATATACATACATATTGGTTGAACTACGTTTCTTGTTGTACTAAGAAACATGAAGTAAAGTTAGATATGATTATATTTAAGCAATTAAAACAAAGTAAGCTAAACTAAATAAATAGAAGGGAAAATAAAGTAGTTAAAACTAAATTGGATTAATTGAAGCAAAATTTTAAATAACCAAATAAATCCGAATTCTGATATAATAAAAAGACATATATATAAATTAAATAACATAATACAACTTAAAACAAAATAGAAATGTAATAAAAATTTTACTGAAATAGTTTCAAATAAATACCCGAAGGTATATAAATAAAAGCAAATAACCTAATAGCAATTAACCTAATAAAATAATTTAATAAAACTTCAACAAAAATGATTTTAAATAAATAACATTCAAAATTTCAATAAACAACTACTAAACAATTATAACAAAAGAATGGCCACAACATAATACAGTAAATTAACATCATAAACTTATATTCAACAATTTTTATGAGCTCGAGGCCGTTTTCAGTGAAAACTTATTGTGGAAAAGCAACAATAATAAAGAGAGATAGAATAAAGGCGATGGTTGATTTGAGCTAACGGCTCTGAAATTAAAGTAGATTGCCGCCGCCAAACGCAGTAGATCGTATTTCTGTACAACGTAAATTAAGTGAAACGTGACGCATTAAAATCAATGTAATTTAACGCAAGCTATTATAACTACGCCAATAAGCGCCTGTGACTGTTTATTTTAACGAAGCAAAATACTAAATAAACTTGTGAAATCCCCACGCGGGAATTTAAAGCTGGAATTTATTCAATTGGCTGGGCGAAGTCCTACATACACATACACTTATTGTATGTAATTGTAGGAACTCCAGTTGGTGAGGTATTAAATATTTTGGATAACATTGAGAAGCGGCTTATAGAAGCGCAGGGACCTATTGCCAAATTGGTGTTGGAAAAATTCAAAGCCGTTTTCTCAGCTAACTTAGGCTTGGAGACAATAAGGGGTGTGGATAAAATTGTAAAGGGCGAGGAAAACGCCCTTATTCCTGATAATATGGACGTTTCAAACGTTCCATGTTTAAATTGGGCGCCGCTTGTATCAACTTACGTCGAGCACACATTTAGTACTTGCAAGGCTTTTCTTCGCGAAAATCGAATGAAAATGCTGCCAGAAAACTTCAAAATGCATCTTGTGGTTCAATGTTACTAGAACTATACAGATTAAAGTTTTATGAGTTAGAAACTCGAAAGGATAAAATAGTCAAAGATTCAAAGTACAAATTTTTCATATAATGAAATTAGTTCATAGTTTTTCTCTTTTTACTTGTAATATAAACATTTCTAATATAAATGTATTTTTTGATTGTTCTTCGTATTTTCTGTCTTTTTTTAGTGCCTTTTCCTGCTTTTTTCGCTATTTTGTTTTGCCTTTTTTGCAACACCTAGTGCCTTTTCCTGCCTTTTCACTATTTTATTTTGCCTTTTCCAGCCTATTTCGTTATTTTATTTTGCCTTTTTTATAGGTTTTTAGGTCCTAAAAATCCGTTCCCTGTATATGGGTAACATTCCCACGTAGTCATCTATACATAGTATAAAGGAAAGTCGAGATGTTTCGTACGCGGTAATCTCGATAACTACTGAATGGATTTTGACAAGATTTTCTCTAATATCCTCTGTACCAATAGTAGAGTGACCATTCTTATTTACAATTTTAATAGAGTTGCCACCTGTCTAAAAAACTATAAGATCCGCGCCGTACGTTGGTCTCTAGAAAATCACTAATATATAATTTTTTAATAGGGTTGCCCCGTATTAAGAAAATTACTATATTCAATCCTAGTAAGCGTAGGCGTCAGTTCTGCACCGGCACTGTCAAATGAAAAGACTTATACTCTAGATGTGTAATAATGTATTATTTTTCTGAGTAGGGTTGCTACCTGTTTAAAACTATAAGATCTTCACCACTCGTTGGATAAAACATATATATGTATATATTTTCAAGCTATAATAAGGAAAAACATGTTAAGTAATATACGATCTCTTTCTCCAATTATGTAAATGTACATACATATGCATATATTCCGCCCGTGCCGAAGCCTTGGGTGAAATCATCAGCCCTAGTATGCATGTATGTATGTTTACACTCCATTAGCATTTTCATTATGAGTTCAATAAAGTTTGCTTGGTGATAATTGTTTTATACAGCATTCCACTTACTCTCTTGATATTTCCATGCCAATAATCTGTGGCGATTGAAACAAACTATTCACCGCGAATCCAGTTAATCCCGTGCAGAATAGGAACACCCAATATAAGTTGGTTGTTAATATGGAGAATGACCGTCCCAGCGCACAGAACGCAATGCTGATGTAGTAAACAAAGCGACGTCCATAACTAAAGCAAAGTAATGGAAAAAACATAGAAGCAGTGAAAATAATAGTCAACATTGTAAAGAAAATAGAAAACTTAAGTAGTTGAGGCTGCAGTTTAGCTGAGCTACATCAGCGGAAAACCCATTTTCAATTACTCGCTGGCTGATGCGCTCGACTTTTTATTTCAGTTAAATCCAGTTGGAGCCATCAACTAACCGGTCATCCGCTGTCATTGGCGGTGCCACATGAGCAGTGTTAGCAATGCTGCATGCGTTACTGTACTTACACGTCACCCATTTGTCCCAGCACAAATGATCCGACACCTTCTGCCACGCGTCCCACAACAAATGCGTTCGTTACATACAAACTTCTGGAGCAAACCCAGTTCTCCTTGCTCGGGATGGTGTCATCGTACCACGTTCGATCATAACTCCAGCCATTCTGGCAAGCTGAAAAATATATAAGGAAGTATGGGAAGGATGCATAAATGGTGTAGCAGAAGCCAACAATCACCAGCAAATGTATGTGAATGCGAGTGGAAGGAGAAGTGGTAAATGTGGGTGAAGTAGTGAGATGAATATGGTGAAGGATGACGGCATGCAGTCAGAGGCGTTAGACTAGTTGTCTCCACGGTATGCGCCAAGCGCCTGGGTAGCTATGTATATCTCTAGGTTTAGCTGTATGCGAGCATCTTTGACTGTTTGTTAGTTGCATTTCTCAGATTACAGCAAAATTAAGGCAAACCAATTCGATCCAAGACACTGCGTCACAAAACTAAACTTAACCAAACCAAACTAAACTGAAGCCAAAATGAAATTAAATGAATTAGAAAACCGAAGAAAAGTTTTGTCGAAGGGAGTTGAAGCGAACGTAGAATTGGATGTGGAAGTGAAAGGAAATCGCATCGCTGTTGTAAGTGAAACGCATTAAAGTGCAAAGTTGTAAAAAGTTATGCCCAAGCAAATGGAAAAGTTACTTTACATCGTCACACTCAGGCTTTCTCGTTTCTTTATTCTGCAAGTGATGTAAGGGGGCTTTAAAATGCTTCTCTCCACCGTTACAATGCCAAGTTGTCTTTCCTGCTCATTGATTTATTTTGCTACTGCACTTCTGCACTCGGTTTGTTGATTCGCTTTTACGATATGGTGTGGCTCAGTTTTTTTAGATTTTAGCAAATCCTCGCAGAAATATTATATTTATTATTTGTGAACCAAGGCTATTGCCATGAGTTGTAACTCTGAATATTGCAAAATAATAATAATTTGAGAACTAAAAATTTTGAACTCTTGGAGTACTTTTCATACATTTTTCCTAGCGCTAGACATTCTCCGTACGCAAGTCATTAATATGCCCAACAAAACTGGGAAGAATAAATTAAGTACGACAACAAACAATAACCGTTGAATTTCTGAAATCTTCACACTTGTATATAGATGGCTGAGGGGAAGATCGACCTATTTCGGCAGTCAGTCCGAAAATGCTCTATTTAAGAAAACTTTTCAAGAACGCCCTACTTCAGAATTTGATTTAAAAACGCCCTTTCTCAGAATTTGGTTCAAAAACGCTCTATCTCAAACGAAATTACATTGAAAATGTGCTGAGATGGGCATTTTTGAACCGAACTCTGAGATAGGGCATTTTTCTACAAAATTGTAAAATAAGGCGCGACACCAGTTCCTTGAAAATTTTGTAATTTCAGCATTTTAAAGACTTTTCTTAAAAAAACCTTTAACTAACCGACAACTTTTCATTTCAAATGGGATATTAGCCATGTTCGCACAAAAGAGCTATCTTCTCACTCATTTCTTTTCCTCAAATCTATGCCATAAATTCAGAAACATGTTGTAGTTTAGTTGGTTTTTTTTTCAGCTAGCCTTCCAGCTAGTTGTCCGCTCTACTGGTGAATATTTTATGGTTGGCTATTTTCGCACATCGCCAGAAGTCAAACGCTTTTTCTTTTTGCAATATGGAAATTGAAAAATTTCTTGCTTTTCTCGCGCACTATAAATCAATTTGCTGAAATTGTTAGACTGTTAGATTGCCAACGTGTGAATGACTCTCAAAACCATACACATACTTCTATATGTAACTATATGGATATGAATTTACCCAGTTGGAAACCGAAACCAGAGAAATATCTTTCCAATTGCAGGCGTTTCAAGAAAGTGAAATTATTTTCTTTCTTTCTCTTCCAGCATAGCTGGCATCATGACATTCGTATGTTACTATCAGCTACTAGTATACGCAGACAGAATCGAGTTATTTCTCTTCTACTTAGGCGAAAAAAGCATATGACCTTACGATGTCTCTACAGCTGCTATATTAAGGAGCGCACATTCGGCGCTGGATTTATCCTGGGAGAAAAAATTATTCGGCGAGTACTGTCGGTCACACCTTTGATCGAGCATCTCGCCGAAATCTGTATCAAATCAAGATTATTCAACATATCGCAGATTTGAGTACACGTTCCGGGGAAAGAACCATAAGCGCTTGGAAGGGATTTTTGGTTCCAACGTCGGACAATTTATTTTAAACGACAAACATCCGATAACGTTCTGTGGCTTATCGAACTCTGCGGCACTTCCTTCGTTCGTAAAGCACGACACAAGCGACAAGCTGCATTTTATTTATTTCTTTATTTCTCTAGCAGTGTTACAACAAGCCATAGGCATGGGCCTTATGTCACCCCTCCTTGAGGAACACCATCAGATCCGTCAATCTTTGGAAGAACCTGTCCGAGACGTTCAATGCCAATTTATTGGACGGCTTCCTATCATCCAGCTTCTTTAATTTTATGCTAAATAATATTATTATGTATATCAACCTCAGCAATCTCACCGTTTGTTCTGCCTTTTCCAAGTTGGATATGGAAGGAAATTGCAGGGCTTTGGAGGTGAATGGAGCCAAAACTAAATATTTTCTGTTATCGACACGTTTCCGTCCATCCAGCCTTGAAAGTATTGAACGTGGTATTCGCTGGTGAAATCAGAGGAAGAGGAAAGCTTCACATACAATGGAAAGACCAGGTGGAAAAGGACTTGGCTTCACTAGGCATTTCGAATTATGATCACTTGGTGTTCTTTATTGAACTCCATTAAATTCGCTTAAGCGGTTCAAGCGGAAGAAAAAATGCTCTTAAACAAATCTTGTCCCATTTGAAGACGCGTTACCAGGATAATTAAATATGGTCTGTAACTTGTACTTAAATGGTATTATTTTTACTTTTAATTTAATAACACTGAGACGATTGAGTTATCTATATCTGCTCGTTTTGTGAACTACATGAAACATTCCTAAAGGGGTTTGGAATCCAAATGTAGTCTGTTATATTTGCTATATACTATAAATATATACATACATATGTATGTCTGTTGCTAGAAGCAAGTGAATTTCATAGAATAAACGCTCAGTTAGTGTAGCTTTAACTTCACTTACCGTAAGAAATAGCCAAATTACTCAACACGCCAACTTAAGCCAGATGCGAAAATATTTTGTTTTTGTATTCTCTTTATCAACTGCTTAATAATGCCGCATCAAAACCAAAACATGCGAAAAATTTTTGCGCACATTTACTTTTAAAAACTTCAAAAACGAAAATCTGGCAAGAATCGCTTGGGTATAAAAATCTACAGGTCCGTACGTTTCATTCGAAAAGTTAAGTTTTGACTAACCGCTACCACTGTTTTTCATATAATTTACTTAGCTCAACTTAGTTTAAAGTCATATTTTGGTCAAACCGTTTGGCGGCGATTCAAAACTTAATTTACCGTAAGGAACCGTAAGAACATGTAGACTTTAGATTCTTAAATTGCGACCTTACGGAAATTGAGAGCGGTGGGAGAATCGGGCTTGCCAGATGTTCGTTTTGTATTTATAAAAATAAATGATGTGGCATTGTAGACGACGAACTGTCAATCAGCTGGAAAATGAAATACAAAAGCAAACTATTATTGAGCAATCTTTAAGGATTTCTTACGCTAAGTTACGTCCGGACTAACTAAGCTTTATATACGTAGCATAAATGTACATACGTATGAATGTAAATTAAGCTTGCAGGTATTACTCACCTGTTACATTTGACTTGGTTTTATTCCAATGCTGCCAATCGATGATTTCCGTAAAATTTGCATTATACATTTCACAGCTACTGTGTGTGCTGGTACCGCGATTATCCTTCTGCCTGTGTAAACACCATAGCAATTTATACACACATACATTTGCGTGTATGTTCATGAAATTATATAGATGTGTGGGTGTAATTGTTACCGGAAATGCAAATACAAATAAAAGGATTGAGTTTAAATTTTAATTCCTATCCTGGGAACGACTTATTAAAAACACTATAAACGCGAACAACAAAGTAAACAACGAACAGCTGCCAATTGTTGGAAAGCTAATACGCCTTGTTCTTCCTCAAATAATTCTGATGCGATGAGCAACTTAAATTTTTCCTTCGAAATGAAAATGTCTTAGTTCAAATAATTTCTTGTTCAAGTTATTTCTTGTTGTTTTAACTTTTTTTCATCGGTATGTTCATTTGCTCTTACCTTAATAGCATTAAAAAAATTACTTACGTTGGCAGTGTAAGACGTCGCCACTCATCCAGCGTGTAGTTGGTTAGTTCTTG